GGCTGACAATCCCAAAATTGGTAAGTCAGGTGGAAGGCTGCTGGCTCATGGGACTGAGGGAGCTAGTGAATCCGAAAATCTGCAGGTCAGACAGCAGGCTGCTAGCCCATAGCCCAAGAATTGGAGGTCAGAGGATGACAAGTTGGATGCAAGATCAAGAGAATCAGCTTTGTCGGGACATCCATATATACTGGATGCAGAACACACTCCAAAGGAAACTCCCCTTTCAATGACCGGCTGCTCACATCAGATCACAAAAAAAAAAAAAAAAGGATGATTACATAATATCTGCCAAACCACTGAGAATCATGGCCTAGCAAAGTGACACATAACCTTAACCATCACATCCTGGCAGTAGGGAGCAAGGGCTGCATATCGACCCTGTAGCCACTCTGGTTCCATTGCTATTGCTGGTGGTGAAGGAGGCAAAAATCTCCCACATTTTCCTCTTTTTCCATTTCTCCCAACCCAGCTCATATTTTTAGAAAATCAATGAATGGCATGTTTTGTAATGATCTCCATAAATTTATAAAATTAACTATGTCATCTTTACTTTGATTACATACCAGTAATAGTTGGCTTAGAATGCTAAAGTTCATCCTTTACCCTGTCACTCAAGGCAATGTGTTTCATCTCTATAAATCTGTTTTGTATATAAATTATACTCATGTCATTAGGTTATCATGAAGTTGAAATAGCATACTGAAAGCTTTTACATAGTAAATGCTGGTTGCTACAATGATATTTCTATGCCTTAATTGTTCACCACATGAGAAAAGTCACTTACCATTGACTTTTTGCATCCCATGAAATTCAATCATAAACATACAAAGTTACAGTAAAATCAGTTTTTAAATATCTTAGGAAAAAAATAAGGTAGCAGTTGAAGATAAACTAAAAGTGATGACTGATGTCTTACTAAAAACAGAATAGCTAAATTTGTGAATGACTTTGGAGACGCAAAAAGGATATATTTCTTTCTTGCTCTCCTGCTTGCCAGCTCTTGGGGATTTTCTAGAAATGCAAAACTATGTAAAAGAGTCACTGTGGAAATTCTAGCATAGACTGTGTTGTGATAGAAGTACAGTGACTCACTCTCTCTCAGAAATTGGAAACAGATACAGATCATGTCCCAGATTTCCATTCTGAGTCAAGCCTACTTTAAGTTGTAGAAAAAGATGAATAGAAGGTTGTGATGGAGAGATGATGAAATAACAATGAAATCAGTTGCTGGTAAAGGAACTAGACTAAGGTATGGAATCAAAGGGAATTATTTGGTGAGGAAAAAGAAAAATGTTTTCTAAGGTATTAGAAATGTTTTAGGATAACTTCTGCTACATGAAAGATTATCTACAAAGAGCATGTTGTTGTTGTTGTTGTTGTTGTTGTTGTTATTTGTCATCGAGTCTGACTCGACTCATAGCGACCCCTCCTTGGGTTTCCAAGGCAGTAAGTATCACTACGAAAGTGGATTGCCCACTTTCGAGGAGTGGCTAGTGGGTTACAAAGAACATAGAGCTTCTAAAGGGCACAGAATCTACACTGGCATGTTATGCTAAGCAAATTGAACTCTTTCAGATGGGTTTTATGAGCAGTGCAGACTGTACTAACATTGATGGGTTTATTTGTCATGTAAGCAACTGCCAACCTATTTTTGTTTTTGTTTCACAGATAAATATGAAGGCTGAGTGCACCAACTGAATCTTCCAATGGATGACAATGCAATTCGGCATTGATACTTTTTACTTTCTTTTCTGCATTTGTTAGTTTTTTTAGTTATTGGAAATTTTAGCTGAAAATTCCATGGTGCTTGTGCTTGCATGTAGCAAAACAGCAGCCTAAAGAGACCCACGTCATACAAAAAAAGTAAAATTATCAAATAATACTATCCAGGTTAGATTATGCTGTTATTGTCAGTTGTTGGCTCCAACTCACAGCAGCCCCACGTATAATGGAGCAAAATGTTGCCTGCTCCTGCGTCATCCTCGCTGTCAGTCCTGTGTTTGAGCCTATTGTTGCAGCTACTGAGTCAGTCCGTTTCACTGAGCGCCTCTCTCCTTTTCACTGACCGCCTGCTTTTACCAAGCACGACATCTTTCTCTGGCGATTGGTCGCTCCTAATGACACGTCTAAAGTAAATGAGATGAAGTCTCACCTTCCTAGCTTCTAAAGCATTTGGATTGTATTTTCTCCAAGACAGATATGTCCATTCTTCTGGCAGTCCATGGTATATTCAATATTCTTGGCCAACACCACAATTCAAATGTGCCAATTCTTCTTGGTCTTCCTTTTTCATTGTCTAGCTTTTCAGATGCACATGAGACAATTGAAAAGACCGAGGCTTGGGTCCAGCACACTTTAGTCCTCAAAACGACATCTTTGCTCTTCAGCATGTTAAAAAGGTCTACAGCAGATTTGCCCGATACAATTTGTTGTTTCATTTTTTGACTGCTACTTCCACGGGCACTGACTGTTGATCCAAGAAGATACTTATCCAACAAACCTCTACTGAGGGCCCACTCTAGCAGTCTTAGTTCCTTACAGGTTGACCAGTATCCTCCTGGAGCTCACATCTAGCTGAGGAGACAGACAAGTGAAAGAATCATGATGGTCGGATTATGGGAAGGGCTCCGTCGGCAAACAGAGACTGCCTCACCCTCCCCAGCTCACCTTGGGATTTTATGTACACTAATCCAAATTACACAGCTCCACATGACATGTTTTCTCACTTCCCGATTCTGTTTTTAATTCCAGCAGTCTCGAACAGTGGAAAGGCCAGTGGTTGCAGATGGTACCCAAGGATGGGACTTCACTCCAGAAACCACCTGCAAGTTAATAATGGTGCCGGTGCCTCAGAGTAGGCAAGGGGCAAATATTAGTTGAACGAGTGAAATTTTGCCCAAACCTTTTGTATTTTGTTGTCATGAGTTGCTGTGTAGTCAACTGCCGACTCACAGAGACCCCAAGTGTGCATTCAGAACTGCTCCATAGGGTTTTTCCAAAACCGATCACTAGTCTCGTCTTCCAAGGCATCTCTGGGTGGGTTCGAACCACCAACCTTTCTAGCCAAGCACTTAACCTGTATTTGCACCACCATGTAGTTTACATAAGGAGCTCTGGTGGTGTAGTGCCTAAGGCATTTGACTGCTAATCAGAAGGTTGGCAGTTCAAACCCACCAGCCACTACAAGGAAGCAAGACTATGGAATCTATTTCCATAAGGATTTATAAACTGTCTTGGAAACCCAAAAGGGGTCCCTGTGAGTTGGACTTGACTCGATGGCAGTGAGTTTGGTTTAGTTTTTGAGTAATTTACCTTAGTGAAGAAAGCAGGCATGGGGTGAGGGAGAGGGGAAGAGGGAAAAAGGAGCTGAAACAGAGGAACAGAAAGTTGTTTCTTTTTTCATGTCAAAAGTTTTATTTCAGAGATAGACTAAATATGCTGCTTATTCTGCCTGAATTACACGTCTCCACATTCTTCTCAATCAACGTGCAATTCTGTTCCTCTGAAATGTCTGAATTTATTGGCACTCTCTAGAAGGATTCATAATTTTTTTTTAAGTCTAACTCCTTCATTTTATAGATAAAGAAACTGACTGGAAAGGGCCCAAGGGCTCAAGTGGACCAGCTTCTAACCGAGTGTTGTCCCCACATTGCCTCCAGTGGTCCCCTGAATGCTGACCATTGAGTGTGTAGCAATTACTCAACCTTTTGGCTGCACAGCAAAATTACCTGGAAACTCGTGGCTCAACTTTCAGCCAGACTATGGACAGGCCTATAAGGGGAACAATAACACCAGGAAGATACACACTCATTAGAACAATCAACCACACGAGATCTAAAGGGTAGCATTTGCCCAGGGATAAAGCTAAGAAGGCAGGAGTGGATAGGAGAGAAGGAGGAAGGGAAAGGGTAAACACAGGCAGGAAGCCAGAAGAGTGCTGTCACATGGTGGGGACTGCAATGAATGTCACAAAATGTGTATGAATTGTTCAATGGAAAACCAATTTGTTCTGTAAACTCTCACCCAAATCACAATTTAAAAAGTAAAACTAAATTGAAAATCACCTGGAAAACTTGAAAAACTTCCCAGGACTAAGCCTCAGCCTGGACTAATTAAATCCGAAACTCTGGTGACCCAGAAAACGACAGTATCATATTTTTAAAACTACCTAGGTAATCCCCATGTGCAGCCAAGGTTGTGAACTACCGATTTAATAAAAATACCCCCTCTATATGTGTTGTAGGGGCTCTGGTAGTGTAGTGCCTAAGGCATTTGACTGCTAACCAGAAGGCTGGCTGTTCAAACCCACCAGCCACTCCTCAGAAGGAAGATGGGGCAATCTACCTCTGTAGTGATATTGCCTCGGAAACCCAAGGAGGGGTCGCTATGAGTCGGGTCCGACTCAATGGCACATAACAACAACATATGTGTTGTATTGTTTTTATATATACTACTATGTTGAAATATTATCATTTTCATACATATATGTGTATATTCGTATCCATCTACCTTGTTGTTAGGTGCCGGCAAGTCCATTTCAACTCATAGCAACCTCAAATGACAGAGTAGAATTACACCACAGTAAACTTTACAGAAACAGACAGCATTGCTCCCACAGAGATGTGGGTGGGGTCAACCGCCAACCTTAGGGTTAGCAGTTGCCAAGCACTTAACTGTTTCATCACCAGAGCTCCCTATACACACACAGAGACACAGAAATTTGCAAACAGTATATACCACTGTTAAAATGACAGCAAGTAAAGAGCATCTGTCTAATGATAAAATCGGATCTTCCTTGATTAGATTGCCCCACCACGGTGCGCGCTGCTGGGGGGCGCAAGCTAGACCTTGGGCGGTCCCAGACTTTCCACAGCGGCACCGGGCTCCGGCCCCTAGCATAGGTCCCGCCCCTCGCGCCGGCCCCGCCCCTCGCGCCGGCTCCGCCCTCACCTCCCCCCTCCCGCCGCCAGCCGCCCACCACCCCCGGGGTGTCCAAGATGGAGGGCGCTCACTCGGCGCCGCTCGCTCTCAGGCTGCTCCTGCTCCTGCTCCTGGCCCTGCCGACCGCCGGGTGGCTGACGACGGGAACACCGGAGCTGTTGTCCCGAACCCCGAAGGTAGGACAGGCTGGCGCGGCCCGGCTGCTTCTGACCCGCCTCCTGGACCCTTCGGGGACCCTCCCGGGAGGCCTGGGCAGGGACCGTAGGACCTTGGCGTCAGCAGCGACACCTCTCACTCCCAGTTGGCCGGCAAGGGTTGGGGGTCCTGACTCCCACAAGGAGGAATGGGGCGAAGCACCCAAGGAAATGAGGACGGGGGTACAGAAGGCGGGAGAGAGAAAGGCAAGGGACCGAGAGGGGCACCTTAACGTACGTGCCTCGTGCCGCCAAACTTCGATTCTTACAGCGGTCCAAACTGTGGCTGAGTCTGACGGGGTTTGATTGTCGAAAGTGCACGACCGTGAGTAACTTCATTCGTTTGTAATGGCGCCTTCCTCGGGTAGAGCTGGGTACTCGGGCCAGGCAATGTTTATGTGCTCGGAAATGTGGAAGTTGCTCAATGAGAGAGAGCATTTCCAGGCCACCTGCTGATGGACGGCGCAGCTCTGTGTCGGCTAGGGCCTGGCGATCGAGAAGGACGGGCTCCAGGGCGTGCTGAGCCCACGGAGTTGACGACCTGACAGTTGGCCTGACTGATTTCTGGACCGATATTAGAAAAGTGGCTCTCCACGCTGGGCTGGGACCAGCAGCATCAGCGTCACCTGGGAACTCACAGCCTGTGTTTCCGTGAGCCCTGCGTGTACTTCTGATGCAGGTTAAAGTCGGAGAACCATTGGTCATAGTATTAAAGGCTGGCCAGAGTTCTGGTAGCGTAGTGCCTAAGGGACTTGACTGCTAACCAGAAGGCTGGTGGTTCAAACCCACCAGCCACTCCTCGGAAAGAAGGTTGGGCAATCTACTTCCATAGTGATACCGCCTCGGAAACCCAAGGAGAGGTCGCTATGGGTCGGGTTGACTTGATGGCACTTAACAACAACAGTATTAAAGGCTCACGACTGGTCCTCACTGATTATGGGTGTGGAGTCTTGCTGACCTGAACCAGTATTTACTTTTCTTCAGATGAATGGACGGTAGGGAAAAAGTTGCAAATTTTAAAATGAGAGTTTTCCAGAATTAAAAACAAAAAACCACTACATAGGTTAACCGTTCTTATTGCTCAAGACTTGAATACTCTAAATACAGGTGTGACCGACATCATAAATGTCACTTTTTCACTGGCAGTGAGTTAGGCCTTTACTCTCCCTGGGTACTAAAATAATGTGCATATCCGTTTCAGTTCTGCTGAAGCATTCCAGGAAGCTGCACTGCTAGCTCTAAGAACCACTTGTATCTGAGATTGTATGTGACCCACAGTTGCAGTTGGTTATAACCATCTGTTTGGGTTACCTCCAGTGCTGCTCTAACAGAAATATACCACAAATGGGAATGGCACGAACAAACAAAGTTTATTCTCTTACAGTTTTGGAGGCCTGAAGTCCGAATTCAAAGTGTCAGGCTCTAGGGGCTGAATGAAAGAAAGCCTCTTGACCTTGGGCTTCAGCTATGCCTCCTGCTCCCAGCCCACTGAAGCTGGAGGCATCTTTTCACTCAGCTGCTGGCTGCTGAGGCTGACAAACCCGAGGTCAACAAGTAAAAAGGCACAGTCCCAATATTACCAAACAACACAGCAGGCCATTGATTCAGGTCCGTTGAAAGGTCTTAGATTGGCAGAGCACGTAGGCTGGCGAACAATGACTTAACTACATGCAGGGTTCAAGCATTCTGGAGACTTCCCTCAAAGCTGCTGCTTATATACAGGAAGCAGACCACATCCCTAAAGCCAAGCAACTACTCAGCTCCTCCAGTAGATTCCACCATGGACTTGATTGCCAATCTCACCATGGGGAATAACTACATCCAGCTGCCCAGCCACTCAACCAGGCCCGGCCAAGTTGACAACAACCTTAACAACCACACCATCTGTCATTGCCATGGACAAACATCAAGAAACCAAGCAAGAATGAAGTAATTGTTAAAGTGCTGGAAATGTGGTCATTTCTCATTTTTCCAAATTTTAAAGATTCATGATAGCCATTTATGAACTCAAGAAACATTTGTGCCTGTCCGTATAACTGAGAAAAATGGATTTCAACTTCAAGCTTAAAATACATTGTACTGTGGGCTCTGAGTGATTTCATCATTTCATTTCTTCCTTATGCCTAATTCCACTTCTGGCAAGTCTGCATCTAAACTCAGAATTTCATAAATTAAATGAATGCTGAGCAGATGATATGGAGCTGTGGTGGTACAATGACTAAGGCATTCAGCTGCTAACCAAAAGGTTGGTGGTTCGAACCCACCAGCCGCTCTGCGGGAGAAAGATGAGACAGTCTGCTTCCATAAAGATTTACAGCCTTGGAAACCGTATGGGGGCAGTTCTGCCCTTTCCTTTTCTGCTGTGAGTTGGAATCGACTTGATGGCAGTGGGTTTGGGGTGTTTTTTTTTCTTGGAGCAGATTATATTTCCTTACTTGAGTGTGTATGGGAAGCTTAATCAGCCTGATGTAAATTTTTTTCAACATTTTACTATGAAAATTTTCAAATATAGAGAAAATTTGAAAGAATTATACAGAAGGCGCCCATATTAGATAAGTGCTGCCTGATACAACTTTCTACAGTGGTGATTCTGTATCTGCTCTGTCCATTATTATGGAACCCTCTTGAGCATTATGCCTATTGAACGCTGGAAATATGGCCAGTGTGACTGAGGAACTGAGTTTTTAACTACATTTAATTTTAATTAGTTGAAATTTACCTAGCCACCTTTGTTTAAAGAGCAGCTAACAACCACAACAGAGGCACATTCTACTACACTGGCTTCACACATTATCTTCCATCTGTTCAACCTGATCTAAATTTAAGAAAACTGGCTGAAGTCAAGGATAGTCTCATCTTCTCTCAGTGACTCAGACATCCTGGAATTTAAGCATCTCTCTGTTTACATGCGTGGTCGTCAGAAGTACAGGTTGCAAAATAATAAGTTTTTATAGTACATTCTTCTAATATTAAAATGACTTGGTCAATAAAGAGAGGCATGCAAAACACCAAAAACCAAACTTACTGCTGTCAAGTCGGATCCAACTCACAGCGACCCCTCCTTGGGTTTCCGAGGCAGTATCGCTATGGAAGTAGATCACCCAGCCTTCCTTCCGAAGAACAGCTGGTGGGTTTGAACTGTCAGCCTTCTGGTTAGCAGTCACATGCCTTAGGCACTATGCCGCCAGAGCTCCCTATGTAAATATACAAGACTCAAGCTCATTTATTTTAAACCAGGTATCTATTACCTTTGGGAGCTCTGGTGGTGCAGTGGTTGAGAGCTCGGCTGCTAACCAAAAGGCAGAAGGTTGGACCCACTAGCCACTCTATGGGAGAAGGATGTGGCAGTGTGCTCCCATAAAGACTACAGCCTTGGGAATCCTATGGTGGCAGTTCTACTCTGTCCTATGGGGTTGCCATGAGTCAGAATTGACTCGATAGCAATGGGTTTATCTGTTGCCTTTGTCCTTTGGGAGCTAGTTGTGCCCCAGATGGACATGATATTAGTGAAGGAATTAGAGGGAAGAATTGAAAGTGGGTGGGGAGAAACTTTTCCGGTCGGCCGCCCACTTTCTAAGTGTTCACTACACTGGCTCAAAAGCCTGCCCTTCCAGTTGAGTCAGAGGCTCTCAGGAAGCCCAAGACGTGTGCTGGCTCAGTACCCTAAGTTGGGAAGCACGAATCGGGAAGATTTTCTTCTGAAATGAAATCATTTGGAAGAACCATGAAGAATTTAATTGAACTTGGTTCTCTTTGGAAAATACAGTATGTTACAGGGTTGTTAGGACTTGGAGTCCACATAAAAATGGGTCTGTTAATTGTCTTTTACAAACCCTGTATCCTACTAGACAAGTAATACATGTAAGTGTGGTAAATTATGGACAATGCAGGGTTATGTTCACTGCTGAACAGCAGAAGCTATAAAAAGTTTCCTTAGAACAACATCATTTGAGGGTTACCTCTGGGTTGTTAGTAGAAAAATGGGCTGTAATTAGAGTGTCTAGTTTGAAAACAGAAATTTTTTACTGGGAATTGGACACAAAACTATAACTATCAATTTGATGGCTTAATGAATATTGGTTTGTTCCAGAGGTAAGTATATTGATTCTAACTTAAGCTTAACCCTTTCGTGACTCATTGGACATTTGAGCTCTGATAGCATAGTGCCTAAGGCACTTGACTGCTAACCAGAAGGCTGGAGGTTCAAACCCACCAGCCACTTCTTGGAAGGAAGATTGGGCAATCTGCTTCCGTAGTGATACTGCCTCAGAAACCCAAGGGTCGCTATGAGTCGAGTCTGACTCCAGGGCAAACAACAACACATTTTAAGCCTCTCAAGTTCCTTGGGAAGTGCGTATCTCAGTTGTAGTATGTGCTGCCATCTAGAGGGTACCTGTATAACTGCATGAATCTGGAGAAACTGGCCTCACCCCTGATCCTACCAGCAGAGCTCACAAGAGACATATGTATCCCACATAATTGTATCAGAATCTGTATTACCACACAAAATTTTTTCCCTTGATTTCACCATGGCTTCCATCACTGAAAACACATGATGTCAATAAAAAATGCAAGGCAGAAAATAATCTGGTCATGAAAGGGTTAATTCTAGATCAGAGTAGGCTAAGGAAAAAGCTGGGCTGGTTCTGAGGAATCACTGTCTGAAGGATTGCCAGGCACTTGTAAGCAGTTGGGATGTGTATGCAAGTCAGCTGAAGTATGGGCTTAAGTGTTAGGAATCCAGTTCCATAAGTTGCTTGGAGTCAACTCAATCTCGTAAAGTCACTTCTGTCACATTCTCTCATCTGATGGAAATATATAAAGTGCTGGGGATAGTCACAGTACCAAGAAGTACACTTGTGTATTATTTCCTTATGTATTTATTTAAAAACTTTCTATTGTGATTTGGGTGAAAGTTTACAGAGCAAATTCGTTTTACGTTCAACAGTTCATATGCATTTTGTTTTGTGACATTGATTACA